TTTCTGATCCTGGAAATGTCAGAAATGGATTCAACATCAACAACAACAACAAAAACTCACATTAGCATAAGATACGTTAAAGGTCCCATGTCATGCTTTTCCGGTTATTACCCGTCCCCTTGTGTATTATGAAGGTTTTTCTGCATGTAAACGGTCTGCAGAGTCACAAACCCTGTAAGTACACCCTGTAGCGAGTAAAACTCTAACACAGACCTCCCCAAAACGCCTCGTTGGAGATTTCTCATTTTCTTCCTGGGTACTGTGACGTGTCACACGTCACAGTACCCAGAGGCCACACCCTCTGCCAGCATTTCACGGAAACAAAGCTTCACAAACCTTTCAGCGATTCATGCCGGATATGTACAGCGTAGGGCACTGAAGAACGATGCTGTTCCTACTTTGTTTGGACCAGCGGGAGATTCGGGTACACAACCTGTAAGTATTCATTGTTGTTTGTGTATTTATGATGTTTAAAACAAACAAGGTATCTACCAAGACTGTTTAAATGGGTAAACGTTTTTCTGGCTACTAAGTTGGGATGGCGGAGAAATGCTCTCCGCAGACCCATTCTCACAGCGTTATAAACCTTTTTCTTACTCAATATCAAGCCACACTTATTGTTTTTACTTCGGCTGTGAGTGTTTGTGTGTGCTCAGGATGAGTTTAGCTTGTTCTAGCTTTATCGCCAAGCCTGTCTGCAGCAGTGTGCGTGTCTGTGTGTGTGCGAGCAGCAACGAGCCTGTCAGCTTCTCGACCAATCAGAGCACACTGGGCTCACAGGGAGGGGGGGGGGGGGGGGGGGGGGGGGGGGGGCAGGAGCTCCAACAAGCCGTTTAGGACAGAAAGCGAATACACATATTATACAGAGATGTTGTATGAGAAACCAATGTGAGTTTGGAAAATTGCACGGTATAAATCTATTTTAGTATACCTCAACAATGGATCAGTAGAAATGGCCATGACATGGGACCTTTAAGTAGCATTAAAATTGCATTATAACTTATTCGGACAATAGTTAAAAAATGGCTTGGCAGATTTGGACAAGTGGTTTTGGAGGTTATTGACGATGCTGAATCCACTTCTGACATTTTAAGGATCCAAACTGGTAGTCTTAACCAAAAAGATGCCATATTTGTGGTCCCTAGGTTCTGATTTTGATGAATTTTGGGTCGATTTTGAAGTTTTAGGGGATCATTTGGATTGGAACGATTGCTTATTTATTTGAAGAAAAGTTGTCCACAGTTGAGGTAATCATTTCCATCTTGTCGTCTCTATATCCAAAGGTCAGAAAACTACTCATGGTAGCCCACAGAGAATACAAATATGGCCTTTTATCTGTATTGTTTACACAGGCTATAATGCAACATAATGCTAATTAACACAACTTATGCTAATTGTGCAAATTGCCCAACATAAGCAGGTTAGCATTCGGCAGTTTCTATGTTCTGGGGATCTTTTACTATTCATTTCTAACATAAAACTTGTCAACATTTCCGGGTTTACACTACTGGAAACTAGCCGAAGATCTGGGAACAGACTGCAAGGCTCTTTGAACAAAAACAAACAAAAAAGTCTCCCAAAAACAGATGTCAAATTGGAAAAGGAAGTCATTCCCGAGGCTTGAAACACAACAGAGAGATTCCAACCATCTGCTGCTTCTTCTACTCCTCCAACTTAGTGTGCTCCGTTAGAAAAAAAAGGGTGTTTTGGGGGCATAATGGCTGCCATGAAAGTCACAGTGTTGTCTGTCAACACAAAATAAAAAGGGTTTGACTCGAGAGATGTGTGACTCACGCTTGCACTCTGAAAGGTGGGAGATATGATAACAGAATGCCTAACAAGACCAGCCAATATCAACATTTCTATTTGAAGATCACCTTGCATTTTGGCTTTTTTGCCTAAAAATAAGTGAATCCAGTTGTTCCCAAGCTGGAGAGAAAAGGGTGAGGTTTTAATTTATTCCCAGGGAGTTGCAAAACATACCATTTTGTGCAGAAGTAAGAACATCTGATGAATGTTGTTGCACGGTAAACAAGTAAAAGATGCTGCAGTGTCACGTTTAAATGCTTCCCCAATGAAATGCACTTTTTTTGGTGGAGCATGTAGGCCCTGCAGACAAATGTGTGTGAACCACCAGAATAAAAGGGACAAATCACCCACTTATCACATCATTTTACATGTATGTATCATTTTAAGACACATTTATGACCTGTGAAATAACCAGCATTTCAATGGTTGGAGCAATGTGTTTATACACTTTTATAAGACCGAAAAACTGAGGAAAAACCGCCATTTTGAGTTACATCCCTTCAGTAGCTGCCAGCAATAAAACACTCTTTGATTATTTCTATCATCACATTGTGTTACTGAGTTTCTCCATGAAGCACAACCAGATAGTCGACACCTTTCTGACTATATCTCTGATACTGAGAATCAAATACAGAATCTCTTGAGGCCAACATTCGAGAAAAAAGGCAAAAGAAAATGGAAGAAATTGTGA